GAAGAAGCCGAGGGCTTGATGATACCAACTGTCTTAGTTTTCGGGCGAAGGAAGCCTCGGCGGCGTTTCGGGTAAAGGTTCACTTGGGTAACGACGAATGTCGGGCTTGAGCAACAAACATGATTTCTTTCTGGCCATAAGTTGCACTGCGGCGAGTCTGTCTATATGCGCTGTTCTAATGATGAACTAGCAAAGCAAAGTCACAGCACGTTATGAATCCTCGCAGCAATCGCTTGAGATTTGGATCGCATTGCACAAGGGTCTTCGTAAATCATACATCCACTCAACTCAAATGCCTACGGAAGAGCTTCCAGACCAAACATCACCCCCGCAGATGTTCCAGGTTCACGGGCGTGACCGCCGCCTGTCCGGCCAGCACGGCCATGATGTTCCGCATGCTCAGCTCCTCAAACCCAGCATGGGTCTCGACGGTGCCGCCCGCATTATGGCACGTCAGAAACGCCTTGGAACCCGCCATGGCCGCGAGCCTGGGATGCAACGACGGCTCGGCGGCGTGCACGTCGAGCGCCACACTGCTCAGGAGGCCGGCCTCGAGGGCGTCGGCCAGGGCGGGTTCGTCGACGAGACTGCCGCGCGCGACGTTGACAAACCGCGACCCGGGCTTGAAGTGCTGCAGCGAGGCGGCCGTGATGATGTGGCGGCCTGCGTAGGGGGCGCAGAGCACGACGCAGTCGGCGACGTGCAGGAGGTCATCGAGCTCGGCGTGGAACGTGGCACTCAGCTTCGTCTCGAGAGCGGCCTCTTTGCGGTAGACGTCATGGTAGTGAATGGCCATGCCGAAACCAAAGGCGGCGCGTGCGGCGATGGCGTGGCCAATGTTGCCGAGGCCGATGAGACCGAGGACCTGGCCGCGGAGGGTGTGGGAGACGGCCGTGGCGCGCTCGTGGCAGTCCTGGAAGGCGGCGGGGTTGGCTGCGCCCGCGGCAGCGACGCACCAGGGGAGGTGGCGGAAGGTAGCGATGATCATGGCGAGGGCAAAGTCGGCGACGGCGTCGGCGGCGGCGAGGCCTGAGTTGCAGTAGACGATGCCGCGCGCGCCGAGGAGTTTCGTGTCCGCCCAGTCAAAGCCGGCGCCGGCGCTGGCAAAGACTTTGACACTTGGGGGCAGCAAGCTGACGAGCTCTTGGTCCCATTGTCCCATCTCGCCGCCGGTGCCCCAAAAGGGGCGGAAGATGGCGTCAAACTCACCCCAACGGCGTTCAAGCAGGGCGCGCTTGAACGCATCGCGCTGGCGCTCGGCGGCGGAGGGCCGGATGATGTCGCATTGAGCCTCAAACTGGCGGTAGGTCTCGGGATTGTATCGGATGGGGTCGCCAATGTGGAGGACGACGGGCTTCGTGCCGGAGAGCGGTCGCGTCGTTGTTGGAGAGCGGAAGTCGGACGGGGACGCGGGCGAAGCCGCTCGCGGGGTAGAGGCGGGGTTCGGGGTGCTGGGTGGGAAAGGGGTGTTGGTGGGCTCAGCCATGACGGCGACCTTCAAGAACAAAGCTCGAGTGAACAAAGGATTCTATGGCGAGGAAGCTGGCGCTGCAACTGCAACGATATTCAGAAGATGATGGGCGAGACGGGAAGATCAATATTGGGCTCACGACAACAAGCCGCTGATCCAACACCGTGAGGGCGGCTAACAAAACAGGGCGGCGTGGCCCAGGCACATACAGCGAGACTTTGGGGCTCGAATGGCACGATTGCTGAACGTGTGGCAGCAGGTAGAGGCGGTATCGCGGAATCTGCTGATAGTGAGATAATGCTCATGCAGGCACTGGCCAGGGGGAGGCGAAGCCAGCAGAACAAGGAACGGAACGAAGCTCCTCCACGTGGCGTATCGGCGGGCACAATTGCATGGGGCACCAGGATTGTAACGCAACCAAACATGGTGAGGCGATGGGCATCAGGGGTCGCCATTTTCCTTGAGAACGTCAGAGCGCCAATGGAGTGAGGACACAAGACGCTGCTTCAAGTGAGCAGACGTCGACGGAGACCATGATGGCATGATCTACTGCGTCGGGAGGTGGGACGATGAATAAGGTACCCAGACACACAGGTTTGGAAAGGAACAAGGAGAGAGAAGACGAGGGCCATTGCTGCAAGCCGTTGTCGTTGGTCAGTCGGGCGTCTCTAGGCGGCGGGCTAGCCAGACCGAAGACGCAGGTCGCAAGCCAACACTTGCCAGAGGTCAAGCCTGCCAAGGGACGATGTCCGTTTTGTCGTGTTTGTCTGGTGGAAGATCTAGCTTGACGTCTGATGCTGGATGTCCAGTCGGACCTTTGACATCAAGCCGGACTCTTGATGTCCAGTCGCTCCTTTGACATCAAGCCGGACTCTCGATGTCAAGTCGGACTCTTGATGTCAAGTCGGACTATTTAATGTCAAGCCTGAAGAGTCCGACTCAGAGGCAACGAGCATGCCTTGCAGACTGCCGAATGCTCTGATGTAGAACGACTGACACCAACAGCCACAATGGCGTTCCTCCCCGCACCCTAAGAGATCAACCGCATACCAGGCGTGTGACTGATGTCTTGACTGATGTCTCAGCCTCTTCCGTTGGGTGTGGCAGCCGTGGCTGTAGCTGGTGGTGGTGGTGATGGTGAGGATGGTAGGGCATCACAGCAGGCATCCATGCGGGGGCGGGGAGAGGAGGCCACTGTCAGGCACTGCACATGACTGGCACTGTCTGGCACTGTCTGGCACGTGCATCTGTGTGCTAGTTCTGGACCTGGCGCGCCTGCCTCACCTCAGACGCCTGTGACCGTGACATCAACGTCATCTTCGCTCACAGTTTCGACCTCTCGACGGAGCTTACCCTCAATTTCACCATCGATTAACCCCCACCAGCGCATTTTCATCAGCTTCATCCTGGGATATACCGAGAACCAATCTTGTCCACCACAGAGCATTTTCTCGTCCACGGCAGCGATGGAGCTCCCGCGCTACCTCCGCCGCCCGCCCATCCGCACCTTCGCCCTGAGGCCCCTCTTGATCCCGCTTCCCCTCCTCGCCGTGCTGACGCTTGCCGTCATCGTGGTTCATGCCGACGTCAACACGGCTCTCCTATTCTCGCAATGCCACGCGGGGTTCACGCCTCCCGTCTGTCTCGTGGATTCCCGGTCTCGGTGCACCCCTATGCTTCGCCCTCTCCTTCTTCCAGCTGGCTCTCGCCTCCGTCCGGTCATGGGCAGTCATGGCCGTGAGCCTCAGCTTCCTCGCTGCACTGCTGACCATAACCATTGTCGAGATCATCCCGCAACGGCAGCCGCCCCAACT